TCATAAATTAAAGGTTTTTTCCAATTGGATTTTTACTGGCATTTATGTGGCCTACCAGAAATATATCTGGCAAAGTCATAGGCAATAAAGGTGCTATTCTCCATTCTGTGGACTGGTGAAGATGGTAAAAACTGTGGCTGTTGCTATCCATTTAAAAAATATTTTTTAAATGTATTAAATAATTATCATGTGAAAAAGTACAGAAATTTACAGATCAGACAGCTTTGTATCCAGCAATGAGAATAAACAGATAAACAGATGCTTACTTTTGCTATGTTTTCTAAAAATATTCTCCCTCTCTCTCTCAAACATTTCAGACAAAGCTGGAACAATAGCCCTTGTTCCTGTCACTCTTTCAAAGATAGTAAGTAACCACTCCTGGGAAGATTTCATGCATGTCTTTCAGAATTTAACCTTTGCAGGCATGTATTACAAAACAATATGCTGCATTATGTTTGTATTTTGAGATTTCCTATTGATAGTGCCACGCAGTATGTATCACTCTGCTTTTACGTCAACATTTTATTTGTCAGATTAATTTAAGAAAATATGTATAGGACCACTTATTTGCTTGTAACAGCTAATACTTTCATTGTACGAATAAACCACTATTTTTTTATTCCACTATTGATTATACTTATTTTTAAAGTGTTGCAGTGAGCATCCTTGTAAATGCCTCCTAGTTTACATATTGACTCTCTTGAATATCAGAAATTTGCATTGCGGGATTTTTAAATATGTGTATATTTGTAACTGGTTTAGGCAAATGGTTCTCCTTAAGTTCTCTGTGTGGTGTTTTTCTCCATCTGGAAAAGTGCAATAGTTTCATCTCCATATCTTCCTACCAATACTTAATGTTATCAGATATTTTAGATTTTATTGATCTGATAGAAATGAAATAATACTTTCTTTTAATTTGATTTCCTTGAGTTCTGTGGATGTTGATTTTTTTGAGATGAAGTCTCACTCTATCCCCAGCCTGGAGTGCAGTGGAATGATCCTGGCTCATTGCGACTTCCGTTTTCCCATTTCAAGCAATTCTCCTGCCTCAGCCACCCGAGTAGTTGGGACTACAGGCACGCGCCACCACACCCAGCTAACTTTTGTAATTTCTTAGTAGAGACAGGGTTTCACCATGTTGGCCAGGATGGTCTCAATCTCTTGATCTTGTGATCTGCCCACCTCTGCCTCCCGAAGTGCTGAGATTACAGGCGTGAGCCACTGTGCCCAGCCGGATGTTGATGTTTTATATATTCAGTGGCCATTCCTATTTTTTCTTTTTGAATTGCCTTTTATATCCTTGTCTCTTCTTATTTTGGATGTTTTCTTATTTATTTGTAAGAGATGCCCATCTAACCTTAATTTCTCAAATCTTATTGGTTATATTATTTACAAATACATCTCAGCATGTGTCGTGTTTTTAATTTTGTAGTGGGTACACAGGCAGGTTAAAAAATTCCTTTCTATTACTAACTCTTTAGGGATTTTCATTTCCAATTATCAAATAATTTTAATGGTTATACATCTACTTTTTAAAAATTTCTTCTTGAGTTACTTTTGGTAGTATATGTTTTTCATTCAAATTGTTTCTACTTTAAAAATTTTTTTAATTATTCGCTTAAATTGTACCTAACTTTTTCTGAACTTTTTGTTTTTTAGTTTCTACTTTATCTCTAGACATGTCTGCTTTTTAATCTCTCCTATTACTCAATTCAGTAGTTTTCTATTATGGCCATGAGAAATTATCACGAACTCAGTGGCTTAAAACAACACAAATGTATTCTTTTCCAATTATGGATGTCATAAATCCAAAATCACTGGGCTAAAATCAAGGTACAGCAGTTCTGAGTTCCTTCTAGTGACTATGGGGAATAATCTTTTTTGTTTTTTGTTTGTTTTTGTTTGTTTGTTTTATCACATTGCTTTCTTTCATTCTGACTCCACTGCCTCCCTTTTAAGAGATCCCTGTGGTTACATTGGGTCTGCCTGGATAATTGAGGATAAATCTCCTCATTTCAAGATTCTTGAATTACATAAAGTTCCTTTTGCTATATGTTTTCTGGTATTGTATCCTCAGAAGATTCATATGTTGAAGTGCTAATCTCTAGAAGCTTAGAATGTGTCCTTTTTGGGAAATAGGGTCATTGCCAATGTCATTAGTTAAAATGAGGTCCTACTGAAGTAGTGTAGGCCCTTAGTCCGATAAGACTGGTGACCTTACTAAAAGAATGTTACATGAAGACACAGAGACACACACAGAGGAAAGACGATGGGAGGAGACACAGGGAGGACATGACCATCTACAAGCTAAGGGATGCCTGTGACTATTAGATATTTGGAGCAAGGTCTGAAACAAATCTTCCCTAGCTCCCTCAGAGGGATCGCGGCTCTGCAACACCTTGATTTCAGACTTTTGGCCATTGGAACCTGGAAACAGTAAATTTCTGTTGTTCTAGGCCACCTAGTCCACAGTACTTTGTTACTGCAGTCCTACACAACTAATATATCATGTAAAGTAGCATATTCACAGACTCTGGGGATTATGACATGGACATCTTTGGGGATCAGAATTCAGTGTACTGCATTGTTTGACTATTTTCTGTTTTTTCCCATTATTAACATTACCAAGTATTTAACTTTTTTCCCCATTAATAACATTACCAAGTATTTGACTTTTTTTTTTTTTTTGAGATGGAGTTTTGTTCTTGTTACCCAGGCTGGAGTGCAATGGCGCGATCTCGGCTCATGGCAACCTCCACCTCCTGGGTTCAGGCAATTCTCCTGCCTCAGCCTCCTGAGTAGCTAGGATTACAGGCATGCGCCACCATGCCCAGCTAATTTTTTGTATTTTTAGTAGAGATGGGGTTTCACCATGTTGGTATGTAACTTTTTTATTTCTTCAAATTTATCCAGCATTAGATTTCTCTTAATTGCTTTGTTTTTGTTTCCTATTTGATTAATTTCTCTACTTATCTTTATTTTTAATTGAAGTATAGTTTACATAGTGAAATAGATGAGTCACAAATATGGAATTAGATGAGTTTTGAAAATTGCAAACAGCCTTGTAAACCACGCCCTTATCATGAAATAGAACATTTATTTTCCTTTATCTTATGAAAATTTCTCATGCCCCACCCAAATAATTCCCACTCACAGATTTAAACACTATGTGGCTTTATTTCACTGTGGATTAATTTATCTACTTTAGAAATTCACGTAAGAAGAGTCAAACAGTATGTACCCTTTTGTATTTGGCATTTTGCTAGGCATTATGTAATTTAGGCTTATTCATATGTGTATCAGTGGTTCAGGCCATTTTATTGCTGATTAATATTCCATTGAATGTATGTGGCACAATTTATTGACTTAGTCTCGTTTACAGACATTTTCTCAAATTTATGGCTATTATGAATAAGACTGCTGCAAACATTTTTGTACAAGTCTTTGTGTTGACATGCTTTTATTTTTCTTGGGTAAATGCCCAGATGTGATGTCACTGGGTCATGATAGAAATGCATTTAGTTTTATGAAAATCCGCCAAAGTGGTTATCCAGTTTCTGTTCCAAAATTCCACATTCCAAAAAATTTTAAATGTAATGCTTGTTTAAAAATCTTTTTTTCTACATCCTTACTTTAAAAAAATTTATTTATTATACTTTAAGTTCTGGGGTACATGTGCAGATCGTGCAGGTTTGTTACAAAGGTATACACATGCCATGGTAGTGGTTTGCTGCATCCATCACCCCGTCATCTACATTAGGTATTTCTCCTAAAGCTATCCCTCTCCAATCCCCCCAACCTCTGCTATTCCTCCCCTAGCCCCCTACCCCTCAGGCCGCAGTGTGTGATGTTCCCCTCCCTGTGTCCATGTGTTCTCATTGTTCAACACCCACTTATGAGTGAGAACATGTGGTGTTTGGTTTTCTATTTTAAAATAATTTCAGACTCACAAAGAAGTTGAAAAAATGACACAGAGTTCTCTTTCACATTTCACCCAACTTTCTCTAATAACATGTTACAAAACCATAGTTATGTACCATTATCGCTATGTACTAGTATCAAAACCAGAAAACTGATATTGATACAATAGTATTTATTAAACTGCAGATCTTATTCTCATTCACCTATTTTTATATTCACTTTTTTTTGGATATATACTTCAATGACATTTTATCATATGTGTAGATTTCCCCACCCACAACTACAATTAGGATACAGAACTGTTCCATCCATCACCCTAAAGAAACTCCCTGTATACCCACTTCCCACCCATAACCCTAACCACTGTCCTGTAATTTTTACATATTGATAGTGTTATATAAGTGAAATCACACATTTTGTAGACTTTGAGATTGACTTTTTTTCATTCAACACAATGCCATTGGGATTCATCAAAGTTGTTGCATGCATCAATAGTTCATTCTTTTTATTGATAAATAATATTCCCTTGTGTAGATATGTACCACAGTATATTTATCTATCCACTCAATGAAGTGTAAAGTTTCTGAGATCCATCATGTGTTACCTATATCACTAGCTTATTGCATTTTATTGCTCTGTAGTATCCCATTATAAGAATACACCACAATTTATTTTTCTATTCCCCAGTTAATGGACATTTGGGTTGTTTCCTGCTTGGGGTTATTATGGTTAAAATTGTTGTAAACAAAAGTCTTTGTGTGAAGATATATTTTTATTTATTGTAGATAAATACTTAAGAGTGGAATTTCTGGTCCTATGTTAAGAGCAATTTATAAGAAACTGCCAAATGATTTTCCAGTGTCATAATATTGATTTGCATCCCATCAGCAAGGCATAAAAGTCCCAGTTGCCCCACAACTGGTTGGATGCTTCTAATAATTTTAAATACTTTAACTGTAATAAAAGTTAGTTTTAGATAGTCATTTATTAAGAAAAGTTTCTTTTATTTAATTACAACTCTTATACTACCACACTAGTGCTTATACATTTATTCATCTACTTGTGTGTGCAAATGAAAACTAGTTTACATCTTTGCCCACATAAGCCCCCACTGTGGGGTTTGGCTGGACCCTCAACTGCAGGTTTGGGTACAGGCTGCAGGTGCCTGGGGAGGACTGTGTGCTTGCTGCACAGAAGTAGATGGCTGAGTCTCCAGGCTGGGAAGCCATGATATGCAGTGAGAAGTGTTTGGCACTTTTATTGAAGAAGATTTTGAATCTTCCTTCTTCTTTTACAATCATAACTGAATGTATGGCTATCAATAATGCAGGGCTTTTCCCAGGGAATTGTCGGTACCATGGAAAGTAATCAAATGCACTGTTCTCATAAGTACAGTTCATAACTGAAATCTCTCCTTTCTGGACAATCAAAGATTGAGGACTTTGTTTCACCTGCTGCTGGTCACTTTTCTCCTTCTGTTGGCCACTCACCCCTGCATAGAGAGATAACAAAATGTCATTAGGCCCCCAAAATAATATTTTCTTAAAGTTTCTACCTTCATGAGTTTGTCTGTATCCTAAATTTCTCATTCACTCAAGTGAGTAACATATCCTGGAGTTTCTCCTCCACAACTCACAGCATAGTTGAAGCCACAGAATTAAAAATAATGCTCCTAAGATCTTGTCCATTCCTCCTGAAACCAGAGCTCAGTGACAGCCAGGTAGTCTTCTGGTCTTCCCAATCAGCTGAATCTCTGACTATGAATTCACACTCAACTGAATCCTTTCAACAGGCCCGCCCTTTCACAAGTGCTTTCACTTAAAGCTATGTCTGTCAAAGGAAGCACTTCCCCACTTTGTTCAAATTTAGAATTGCTGAAAATACATTCACTGGGAATCAGTAATCCCCTCTTTACACACAGATATGGATCAGTTTAGAATTTTTGCAGCTCAAGCCCCCACACTTTTCCTCATACCTTTTAGAATATTAAAATAATAAATAACGTTTTAATATTCTAATAATTTGGTAGGAGGTAGTTGAATCATGGGGGCAGGTCTTTCCCGTGCTATTCTCATGATAGTGTAGAAGTCTCATGAGATCTGAAGAGTTTATAAAGGGGAGTTTCCCTGAAAATTGGGGCACAAAGTCATGAAGGTAGAAACCTTAAGAAGAAAATATTATTTTGGGGCCTAATGACATTTTGTTATCTCTCTAAGCCGGGGTGAATGGCCAACAGAAGGAGAAAAGTGACCAGGAGCGGGTGAAACAATGTCTATTGACATATCTAGCTATTCTACTGTATGATTTTCATTATTTTAGACTTTATTTACATTTTATTTACATTTATTTACACTTTATAATGGGTCAACTATGAAAATATGAGGAACCAATTTAACTTTGATGTTAACACAGGCAGAAATTGAAGATAAATTCTAAAGCAGCCCTAAAATAAGGATCATCTGTGCAGTAAATCATAGAAGTTAAAATAACATGAGAAGTACATTTTTTTCAGAAGTACAAAAAGGATTTTGTTGGATCTATGTTTGATGTCATCCCAAATTCACTTGAAGAAAACACCATACCAGTCCAACAGGAGACAGTAGTCCACATTCCTCAATCTAGAATCCAATCCTTTTCTTCTCCAGCACCCTAAGGTACTTTTTAGAAGTTGTTTATGTTTTGGTGTGCTTTCTTTTCATTTTCATTTATGTATGCATATCTTCAATACATATATACTGAGTGCTTACTACGTAAGTGCCTACTAAATTAGGCAGTACTTGCATCTCATTTCATTCATGAAAGAGCCTCAGTCCCAGTCTTCAGTCAACCTAGTCCCAATATTCAGGTATCAACCAATGATACCTGACAAAGACCCCAGTGTGTCTAGATAATGTGATGAAGGAAAGAGTGATAAAATCTGCTTCTGGGGCTGGGCGCGGTGGCTCACGCCTCTAATCCCAGAACTTTGGGAGGCCGAGGCGGGTGGATCACGAGGTCAAGAGATCGAGACCATCCTGGTCAACATGCTGAAACCCTGTCTCTACTAAAAATACAAAAAATTAGCTGGGCATGGCGCATGCCTTAATCCCAGCTACTCAGGAGGCTGAGGCAGAAGAATTGCCTGAATCCAGGAGGCGGAGGTTGCCGTGAGCCGAGATCGCGCCATTGCACTCCAGCCTGGGTGACGAGAGAAACTCTGTCTCAAAAAAAAAAAAAAAAAAAAATCTGCTTCTGTACCCAGTCAAAGAAGAGTATAGATGGAGAAGACGCTTGAACTGGGCCTTAAACCATGATAGATTTCCCCATAAAAAGAATAATTAAGGAATTTTAGGCACAGATTAGTGTGGCTAGAGATTGGGCTGTATATGGGTGAAAACATTATAAAGTTATACTAGAAAAGTTAATGTGGGCTTGAAGGATAACATGCAAAATTCAAAAAAGTGTTGACTTCCAAAGTTGTATTTTCCACTCTGTTAGGCTAGAATAAACACAGATACTTCTCAGGTAGATTAACGGATAAATACACAAATACATTGAATGAAACAGATATGTGAATTGAAACAGAGTAGGATATAATTTACTAGATTTTGAAAGGATAATCTCTGGCTACCTACTGAATATGTATATATGGACAAATCTTAATCTTCTTTGAAGAAGCATTGCCCCTTTGTGGCCATATAGGGAGTTTACACCAAACAATTTCCTACAGCTTCTTAAAACTGTTCAGCAATCCCTACATCTATCAGAATACTGAAATAAGTGCCTGAATCTTCCTCTTGAGCCAATGATTTCTTCAGATGAAAGGAGATTTTGCCCTTGCTGAGGTCAGGTATGTCTCAGGAGGATCTGGAGGAACTGATTGGGATGCTGGAGGTACCAGGAGAGAACAGGGCTACTGAAACAGTGACACCCCAACTGCTCTGGGGTTCCTTCAGAGGCAGAAATTGGCCATCACTGCATGGTATCTCCTTTGCCACATAATGGCAATATCAGATCATGGAGAAGTCTTCACACTAAAGAGAATACGTCCTTAAATAGATCTAAATTAGATAATTATACTTCATCTTTGTCAACACTTGGTATAGTAGCCATATTTTTATTTTTAGCCAACATGGTGGCTACATAGTAGCATATATATACATAAATATATATATAATACACATAAATATATATATGTGCTACTATGTAGCCACTATGTACATATATACATATATATATACATATAGTGCTACTATATGGACACTCTATAGTGGCTACATATATAGTGGCTACACTATAGTGGCTACATATCTTATTGCAGCATTAGCTTGCACTTCCCTCATTATTAATGACACAGGAGTCAGGAAACCTTTTCCATAAAGGGTCGAATAGTAAATATTTTCAGCCTTTCTGCCACTGCAACATGAAAGAGGCCATTGGTAACATATTTTTTAAAAACCCAAGCATGGCTGTATTTACATAAATCTTTATGAAAATAGGTGGATGGCTGAATTTGGCTCATAAGCCATATTTTGTTGACTGCTGATGTAGAGCATCTTTTTATGTGCTTATTGGTCGTTTTTCTCTTTTATTGTAAAGATTCTGCTAAAGTATTTTGTTAATTCTTAAGTTGGGTTATTCGTTCTCTTTTATTGAGGTGTAAGAGCTTTTTACATATGCTGTACACAAGACTTTTGAATAATTTATATGTTTCAAATAGTTTCTTCAAGCCAATAGCTTGTCTTTTTGTTTTCTTAAAGATGTCCATGACCTCTGCACTGAAAAGTCCAAAAACAATGCTGACAAAAATTAAAGAACCTTAATAAATGGAAAGATATGTCATGTTCATAAATCAGCAGATTTAATGGCCCTGACAACACTTTGACTGTAGCCCTGTAAAACTGGTTTCAGAGTTCTTTCTTCCAGAACTGTAAGAGAATAAACTTGTTTGGTTTTAAGCCACCAAGTTTGCAGTAATTTGTTAGAGCAGCTTTGTTAGTTTGCTAGAGCTATAACAAAGTACCACAAGTTAGGTGGCTTAAACAATAGGAACTTACTGTGTCACTTTTCTGGAGAGTAGAAGTTTAGAGAGAGACTCCCTGTGAAGGCTGTGACAATCTATTCCATTTCTCTTGCCCAGCTTTTTGTGGTTTTCCGGCAATTTTTCGCATCCTTTATCTTGTTGAGGTACCACCCTGATCTCTGCCTTCATCTTTAAATGCTGTTCTCCCTTTGTGTGTATGTGTACCCCAGCACCTAAACCCATTTAGATTAAGTAAATTTACCGAGGCTCTAGAAGAAGATCTTCAGGACTCAAACCTCAGTTATAGATTAAAAGAAGTTAATCACTTATGTCTTTAAATGAATGCATACTTACACATAGACATATAGCTTAGAAGATATATAAAACTCTGAAAAAACTTTGTAATTTTGAGTTGGTCTGGCAATAATTTCCAGGCCATCTCCCTGTAATTGGATACAGAGATAAAAGCTCTCTTCTTCCCCAGTTCATCTGAATCTCATTATTCAGCCGTGAAAAATGGCAGCCCAAACCTCAATTTGGTCCGGGAACACAAGGACAGGAGAAACAGAAGGAAGCATCCAGTGTGGGGAAAAGTAGGCAGCCAGAAGCCTCACAAGCAAGGTTATCCCACCTTCTTTCACCTGCTTTGTTCTAGCTGGGCTGGCAGTCTATTGGATGGTGCCCACCCACACAGAATGTGGGTCTTCCTCTCCCAGTTCACTGATTCAAATGTCAATCTCCTCTGGCAACACCCTCACGGACACACCCAGAAACAACGCTTTACCAGTCATCTAAGCATCCTTCATTCCAATCAAGTTAACGCCTAATATTAACCATCACAATTAGGGTCCATTCTAATGCCTTTATCTTAATATTGACATTTTCAATGACCCTATTTTCAATTAAGACCACATTCCAGGTACTGAGTTAGGATTTCATCTTGAATTTTGAGAGACACCATTCAACCTATAAGAGCAGCCATAGAAAACTAATACAATATGTTGTCTAAAGTGCCTAGTTTTTGAACAAAAATTTATAAAATATGCTCCAAGCAGGAAAGTGTGATTTTTACTTTACAATAAATTGGGTAATGGAAACTGCCTTTTTTTTTTTTTACTTACAATAAATTGGGTATTGGCAACTGCTTTTTCTATTACTTAGATGTTGGATTTCACAGACAAAAATTTCAAAATTGCTGTTTTAAGTATTCTCAAAGAAATAAAATCATGCTTAGGAAAATAAAAAAGATATGATGATGACCAGCCAAATAATATCTATAAAGTGGTAAAAATTATTTTTATGAAAGGAACAAAATAGAAATCCTGGAGTTGGGGAAGTGCAACTCCCCTACTGTTTGGAGGGTCAAACAGTAGGTTTGGGATCCCTGAACAAGAAATCAGTAAACTTAAAAATAGATCTACAGAGATTATGCAATCTGAGAAAAAAGAAAGAAAAAAGAATAAAGAAAAATAAACAGAGACTTAGAGAAATGTGGTACATAATTTTGCACACCAATATATGCATAATGAGAGTACCAGAAAAAAGAACAAAAATTTGAAGAAACAATGGCTGAGAATTCCCAGATTAAAAAAAATAAAAACATTAACCTACTCATCTAAGAACCTCAGTGAACCCAAGTGAAATGAATGCAAAGAGATTCACTCTCAGACACATCATAGCAAGAATGTTGAAAGACAAATAGAATCATCAAAGTGGAAAAAGAAAAACAAATCTTTATGAGAGAAACTCAATAAAATTGGCAACTGACTTCTCA